GGAATGACACTGAACACTGGCCACCAAGAAGTCACCACACAAGAGCGAGCATCACTTAGACCGGCAGCAAGAACCCTTTGACCAGTTCATAAAAAAAACAAAAAACAACTTCAGGACTGGTGTAATGAATATAACCCGGAAATTCAGTCATTCATCTCCGACAAACATTCTACCAGATTAATTCTCACACCTATGAGACAATTACTCTCACACGTGACGCTTGAACTAATACCACGCTAAAAAGTACGACAATATTGAAGACTAACTCGCCTATACGCACGGCAAGGTAGGAAAGCGCCACACACGCACACACACACTCCGGACGACCCTACCAATCCCGTATTAGCGTATTAGCGTCTCGAATCACCTTAAGGAATACCAAATAAGATGACACCATACTGTGAATCCTGATAACAACCTCAATCATGGCTATAATATTCATTACTACATTTTTTCTTCACATTTTCTTTCATTGTCTTCACTGTGTGTCTACTGCAATAACATCCATCCCAACAATTACGTAAACTGGAAATTCAAGGAGGAAAGAGGAGGAGAAGGAAGAAGGAAAGATGGATAATAGAACAATATTGGGGTTTCAGGAGGAGAAGTAGAAGGAGAACTAGGAGAAGGAGAACTAGGAGAAGGAGAACTAGGAGAAGGAGAACTAGGAGAAGGAGAACTAGGAGAAGGAGAACTAGGAGAAGGAGAACTAGGAAAAGGAGGATTAATCATGTGTGTACAGGTAATTTGTGGGTTCAATTAAGACTGTAGGAAGCCAGGTGTGTACAGGTAATTTGTGGGTTCAATTAAGATATGTAGGAAGCCAGGTGTGTACGGGTAAGTTGTGGGTTCAATTTTAAGACTGTAGGAAGCCAGGTGTGTACAGGTAATATGTGGGTTCAATTAAGACTGTAGGAAGTCAGGTATAATGCTCATCTATACCTCATTATCATCATTAGGTGCTTGGCTGTGTCTTTAACCTCGACTCTACAACCAACACAAGCCAATATCTTCATCCTCCTCTTCATTCTATCATTTCTTCTTCTCTCTTTATCTCCCTTCTCCCTCTCTCTCCTCCTCCTTCGCCCCCCCCCCCTTCTCTCTCTCATTTCTTCACCTTTTTCTCTCGTCTCTTCTTCTCCATTTGTCTCCTCTCACTATATTTGGTTTTCCTCTTAAGACTCTTTTCTCTTGTCTTTTCTCCTCCTTTATCTTTTTCTCCTTTATTGTCTCTCTCTCCTCATGTGTCTCTTACCTCCTCTTTTATTTTCCTTCACATTTATCTCCCTCCTCCATTTATCTTGCCTTTTATATTCCTCTTTCTCCTCCTCATTGTCTAATCTCTCTTGTCATTTTCCTCTGTCTCTCACCATCTGTCCCACAACCTAGGAGAAGTTTTATCTCTCACCGTGTATTCTCTCTTATCTCTCCTTCAGCCTGGGTGGACGGACAATCTGCGTTATTCTGTGGCCGGATGGTTTGGCTTCAGTCTCCCATATGGATTATGTGTAAGTTACCTCCTCATAACCTAACCTAACCTAACCTAACCTAACCTAACCTAACCTAACCTAACCTCGGAGTAAATTCACCTGTACTGAGAACCGGCGATTGTTGTCAAAATACCACGAACGGGACCACGAAATCCTCCCATCCCTTTTTTTTTTTAATTGAATATGAAGTCAGGTGTCGAGTTAATGCATCCTAACTTAAACTAAACTAAAATAACTAAGCTAAAATAAAGTCTATACTAGGTGAACAATTCTCGGGTTGTTTTGGTTTGGTTTACTCGTGATGTTTGTTATATGGTCCTGTTCGCGGTGGTAATTATTAACATTCACCATTCTGTAATGTTTTTGTTTAGGATAACATTTTTTTTTAGAGCTAGGAGTTAAAAGTTCAATAAAGTTATTATAGCTTAACATGTAGATTAGACACCCTCAGATTATTTCACCCTGACAGTAAAGTTAACCTCATTTAACCTTACCTAACACCGCCCTCTCCCAGATAGCGTTAATCATCAAAGTGAAATAATCTTGGGCATTAAATCTTCACGTGATCAGTTATAACAATAAAATACACTGACGTAAGAATATTTTACAGTATGTCAAAATGAATCAAATATGCTGAAGTGAGTAATTAATGATGTCAGTGTCAATTAATGGTGACCGGAAATGAGTTGACCTAAGGTGTATTGGTGACAGGTACAATGTGGTGATCTTGGCTGTGACCTACGTGGTGCCCATGACTGCTATGGTCGTCTGCTACGCCGTCATAGGTGAGGTCAAGGAGTGTATTCTTTTTCCTGTATGGTACATGTGTGTGTTGGGGTGTGTGTGTGTGTGTGTGTGTGTGTGTGTGATCTCTCTCTCTCTCTCTCTCTCTCTCTCTCTCTCTCTCTCAACAGGTAACACTCTCCTCCCTTCCCACAGGCTGTAAGCTGTACGACCGACGCTCTGCCAAAACGTCACGACAGGCCGACAATTTCAAAAGCAAAAGGAAAGTAAGTACAAAACGTAGACTACCAGAGGCCCGTTTTCTTTGTCCTGTAGAGACCTGTTTGTCCTCGAGACCTAACAAGGCTCCTCTAGAAACCAAACACCTGTGAAAAGAAACCTTGAAGATCTTAAGGTCTCCAGGTGTATTGGTGTTTCTTGTTAGCGCAATTAGTACAAGGAATATTAAGGGTTAATAAATATTCCTAAAATCACCTGTTTATTAAAATATTAGTCCGTACTCTTCAAAGACCCTGCATGTACCCAAGGACGTGTTGGTAATTGATTTCTGCCATCACGTCGAGCTGTGGAAATTGCACCATCATTACCGTCGTTGCCAGCTTATTTTAATAATTTTTTCAGAGTCCCAAGCTGAAGTGTAATTAAAGATTTCCCTAAATTTACCTTAACTGTGAACTCAACTTAACTCCAAAGCTCACCTCCAGTCAGCAGATGTTGGAGTCCGTTGGTAAATAATAGCGGGAGATTTAAGACGGTGGTTGAACCCTCCACTTCTTGGTTATGTGAATTCTCAACTTGTTGAGTATGGATTATCAGAGGAATTTGCATATCCTTCATTATTCCGGACCTCCCAAGACACAGCTAAGATCCTCAGCGCTGGGGTCACGTCTAATAATCTCTGCAGTAAATAATGGACTTTTTCACACCTTTATGAACGCCTCCAGTGTGTCCCAGTCTGCAGCCTTCCGGATACTCGACGTATACTGTTTACCAAGGAGGTTCCAACTTGTTTCATATCGCAGTTAACAATATCATTTGTTGACTGTCAGATTACTTATTACTGCCGGTATTTTACGGACACATTTAATGAATCCAAGTTCTGACCGACTCGACCAAAGCTAACGTAACCAAAACTAACGTAACCCAACCAAAACTAACGTAACCCAACCAAAACTAATCTAACTTCATCACTGTAGTATCGGCTTTGATAGACCATTAGGGCTGAGGTCTAATAAGATTGTGGCCTGTTTTAGACTGGAGCCCAACTTTTACGGATTATCATAGACTGGAACCTATTATAAAACCATCAGTCTACACTTCAGCTCCTCTCACTGGGTCGATTCCTGTTTTACATACTGATGACTCCATATTAGACATTGATGATGACTTGGTAGTATTCTTCCTTAATCTAAACCAGGATGAGTTTAACTTCACTCCACTTGGGTGTCTGGTGCCCTTAGCTATATAGAACTCAATGGAAGAGTAACAACTTAGGCACCAAACTAATCACCCAGGAACCAAGTTTATGATTCACCGAGAAGGTTAAAGAAGGTTAAATCTCTCCATCACTGACCATATACCTATTTTATTCATCTGGTCACGACACTCTTATCATTCAGCTGAAATTATCACTTAACAGATACTGGTACTATTTATCATTAAATTACTTCATCTCATCCGTTTGACGATTAAGGTATTCACACTGATGGCAGGTAAAGCATCGTTAATCAATACATAGACGAAGATGTTTGGGTGTTTCTACTTCTTAACTAAGCAATGGCCCTAACTCTTACACTCATGCTGCCCATCTATATCATTTTCATCTTTATTTTCTAAGGTTTTTGTAAATATTAATCAAACTCATACAAAAGTGAAAGGAAAGTGGAGATTATAGCCAAGGTGAAATACTTTCTCCTTTATATGTAACGTCAATGATTAGCGAAGAAAGGTGAAATGAGAGTGTGGGAGTAAGGTTTATTCTACTCTTGTTTTTGCCGTGTTTCTTGACCCCCATTAGTCCTCTCCTCCTAACTCTCAATAAGCTCTCAGTACAATAGCTGAATCGTGTCGGTGGGAAACTTTCGTAAATTTTCAGCAATTTTATCCCCGTATTAGCTGGTGTTTACAACGTACACAATAGTTATGATGCGCGGGTGTTTACAAATTCCATAAATAGACCGGCTTTTCTTGCTAAGAGTTAATGAGCCGGTAAACTCATGCCGGTGATTTATTGCTTATTATTGCCACCGGACGAGGCTCTTCTTAGTATGTTTTGGTTTCCTTTCATATATAAGTTGTCTATGTTGTGACCACCATGGAGACCCACCCACCTCCTCCACCAGGTTCTTCCTCAGGTTTTCTTTCATCCTGCGAGACGGTGACTGGAGGGATTCGGTTTATCTGTCCGTATATTAGTCCGTCTGTCCGTGTATCAGTCCCTGTGAGTATTATCCCGTCTCTGTATTAACCTGTGTATCAGTCCGTCTCTGTATTAACCTGTGTATGTATCAGTCCATGTGTGTATCACTCCATGTGTGTATCAGTCCATGTGTGTATCACTCCATGTGTGTATCAGTCCATGTGTGTATCAGTCCATGTGTGCATTAGTCCATGTGTGTATTAATCTGTGTGTGTATTAGTCCGTGTATATATAAGTACGTGTATGTATCAGTCCGTGTGCGTGTGTGTGTGTATTAGTCCGAGTGTCACCTCAGAGCTCACCAACGAAGGTGACATCCTTGATAACTCATATCATTGTATCAAAGCTGGATGATCGTCATACTTGATTCCGTGTGACAGTAAAGTAGTAGTAGTAGTAGTAGTAGTAATATTCGTACCTGCTGATCCGATTATAACTTTGTATGGTGCACTTACTGAATGAATATCTATCTATCTATCCATCTATCCATCTATATCTATCTATCAATCTAGATTAACTAATTCCAATATTATAAATTAATTTGATTGGAATTAGTTAATCTTACCGCCACACCACCCCGTTAAGTGCAGTACTGTGGTGTCCCTCAGGACTCATTTAGTTTAAAACTCGGGTTGAAACACGACGATCCTCTTCAAGGGAAGATGTTGTTTAATAATACGGGCGTTACAAAAGCTTTTCCGGTTAACATAAGAGAGAATGTAGCTTACGGTATATACTTTAAGGGGGAGACTTAAGAAACTGAAATGTACTTCTGGAGCCAAAACTCTATGATAATTTGACCACTTTAGGGACGAGCGGATTAAACCATCGTCATTAAAGGGTTAAGTCATCGTCCTCAACGAGTTAAGTCATCGTCCTCAACGGGTTAAGTCATCGTCCTCAACGGGTTAAGTCATCGTCCTCAACGGGTTAAGTCATCGTCCTCAACGGGTTAAGTCATCGTCCTCAACGGGTTAAGTCATCGTCCTCAACGGGTTCAGTCATCGTCATTAAAGGGTTAAGTCATCGTCTTAAGGGTTAAGTCATCGTCTTGACACGGTTAAGTAATTGTCTTCGAAGGGTTAAATCACCGTTCTCAAAGGGTAAAATCACCGTTCTCAAAGGGTTAAATCACCGTTCTCAAAGGGTTAAATCACCGTTCTCAAAGGGTTAAATCACCGTTCTCAAAGGGTTAAATCACCGTTCTCAAAGGGTTAAATCACCGTTCTCAAAGGGTAAAATCACCGTTCTCAAAGGGTTAAATCACCGTTCTCAAAGGGTAAAATCACCGTTCTCAAAGGGTTAAATCACCGTTCTCAAATTATTAAAGAAAAATTCGTACCAACAGCTGCCGAGTCTAATGTATTGTTCAACATCCAAAAGAAAAATAAGGATCGAATTTACAGAAAGAGATTCGATCCCTTTCTGGCTGTCCTCATATTTACAGCTTCTTCTTCTCTCGTCATAGGAAACTTCAATCATGAGAAGAAGACTTGTAAAAACCGTCTCGTTCGTTTTTTAAGGAATAAATCTTTTGTCTCCTTACAAGAACTGAGCACTTGGAGGTAAACATTTCTAGAGGAGATGGTAACACGATGTGGATGGAAAGAAGGCGAAGAAAATACGTGATAAATTAATACTGTATCCACTCTGTCATGGTCGGGTAAGCAAGGTAACAGGTAGACATCTTCCGCCAAGATACACAAGACAACTTCACCCAGTATGTCTCACGTTGAGTTTATGTCGTAAATAGAAGTGTATTAATGGCGGACTCGAGCTAAAAAAGAAAAAATCCGATTTAAAATTGGTCTCAATTTGACACAAACAGAGTCAATCAGTAAAGACAAAACTAAAAGTAAGAAGAATATTTCGTGAAAATCTGCAATGTGAAACAAACAAGAACTTGGATAAAATTAATCTTTTCATTCTTGAACGTGAGAGCTTGTCATAGGGAGGTAGGAGTGGAGGACTCTTTCCTGGACATAACGAGAGACTTTTTGATGGCGAAAAAGTTCAAGTGGAAGAGGAGCTGACGGAGAGAAAACTTTGTGTGACTCTATGAAAACTTTTTGCGCACTTTATTGTGTAGAGTTCTATGTAGTCTTGTTTAATGGTGGCGAATGAGTAACCAGAGACCCTCACACTCAATTACACACGCACACAATCTTTCTCACACACAGATACAAGACAAACACACACACACACACACACACACACACACACACACACACACACACACACACACACACACACAGACATACACAAAAACACACACACACACACACTTATTTCTGGAAGCCCATCTAAACAACAGAGAACAAATATCGTTCACCCACGATGTACTCAGATACAGTGCACAATAGAGGGCCTCTGAGTGGGTTTTTTTTTTTATCTACACCACACTGCACCTGTCCGCACTCCCTGCTTTACCATCAGTAGTATGCATTGTTATACGAGTCCCTTGTGTAATGGGATCAATTTTACTCTCAAAAATAAACAATGACAATGATGTTTTTATTACAGTATTATTAGTAGTAGTTATAGTAGTAGTGGTAGTAGTATTAGTAGTAGTTATAGTAGTAGTGGTAGTAGTATTAGAAGTAGTTATAGTAGTAGTGGTAGTAGTATTAGTAGTAGTTAAAGTGAAAGGGGGTTCCAAAGGCAAGGCAGTGTGGATGCAGCACACTGTACAGTATACTAAGCCTTCGGTATACAGGGAGACAGCATGACCGACACTGCGCTCGACCGCTTTCAATACCCTAATTTTGTCTAGTTAAGAACCTATTTACGGTAAGGTGGATTGGAAATGCACTAGGATCGACCCAAGACCTCTAGGGCAGGAGGCCT